TATATACCACTGTTTTTGTGCAAGAAGAAACTTTTATTAGAAAAAGTTAATTTTTGTATCGTATTTGCCTGCAATAACCCTCATTCTTGTCTTAGTCACGTTCATGTACATTTGCATGATTTTGGTCTTGTTGAGCTTGCGTTTGTAGACTTTGACTTGTTTTGCCTAAGTAAAGGTCTCTGTCTTGTTTTGTACTTATGTGTTTTGCCTAAGTGTTATATGCATGCTTTGCTCCTTACTTGGTGTCTTAAGCCTAGGTCATTCCAAGCCTAGGTCATCTATCCTTGCCGTCTCAAGCCTAGGTCACATCTTTGAACCTCTCACACCTAGGCCGTTGTGCGCCAACACCTAGGACCATCTCGGGACCACCTTGGTTGACTTCCCCCGTCACCTAGGCATATTGGTTGAGATGTGCATCATCTAGGCCGAGGTGTGCATCACCTAGGCCGAGATGTTATCATCTAGGCATCCAACATCTCTGATCCCTGCACCTAACGATCTTGTTTCGGGACTGGTACGACTTAGGCCGAAGTGTGGCACATCTAGGCAAGGTGTGACACACCTAGGTCAAGTGTTATCCTTCCTAGCCGAGATCATTGAAACCTTCTTGTCCGAAGCCTATGTCTTAATCCGAGATCATTGCCTTGTCAGAGTGCCCATGCCACCTTACTTGTTATACACACTTTGTCATGCTCTTGTCTTTTCATTCTGTCGCCTTTTTGAGGAGATTCAATCCAGTGATGCCACGTGTCCCAGCAGAGGGTTAAGTCAGGTACTAGTTGAGAAAACATATCATTTGCTATATCTTTGAAAGAGAGAGAGAGAGAGAGAGATCACCATATAAATGAAGAAAAATGCTTGGGAGCACTAATTAGTGCTCCCACTAATTAGGTGGCAGTGGGTCCCGTCATTAATGATGTGATGTTTTGGTCTTGGAGTTGTATTTTTTTTATTTTTTTTTACTTTTTTAATGCATTAGTGCTATTAGTGGTGATATTTTTAGTGGGATGAATCATTGTTGATAAATGAAATGGTGTTAGAAAATTCCCCATTAGTGGTTTTTTTTATTTTATTTTATTTATTTTTAAAATGAAAAGGAAGAAATTGAAATTACGCGCCGAGGTGAAATGTGTTATATTATTTTTTCACATATTCACATAACCTTATGATTAAATTTCTCGTGTATTATTATTGGCAATGCTTCGACATCAATATCTGTAAATGAAAGAAGCCAATAATCTCAAATTAGTGAGAATGATATCATCGCAAATAAAATTTCGTAATGCACAGTAAATGAAAAAGACTGAATGACACACACACATATATATATGCCATGATTTAGGAAGTGAAATTTGTGGCTATGAAATCAAACTGAAGTGATGATAATTGATATGCTAAATTTTGCTTTAGGATGAGCAGTGCATGCCAAGTCCACACATGCATGTGTGGGTATTCACATTTCTCGCTAAAGCAACTGTATCTGTGGCCATTGCTTAATTATGTGTTATTTTTCTATATCATCAACCATTTAATAGAGGGTGTGAGGCTAAGAGAAATAAGAGGTTATTTTTCTAGGTATATCTGTATTTATACACTTCTTGTTTTGATTTTCTCAGGACCCCCAAACAATTGAGATTGCAGGTTTGTAATTTTTTTTTTTCTTTTCTTTCTTGTTAACAAAATTTGATAAAGTACTAGCGATTCATTGATAGTACAGTAAAACATATACATATATTGGATATATAGTGGCCTTAAATTTATTTAATTGCATTCATAGGCTCTTCTTTCATTATATTTTCACGGTCGAAAATGATTTCATCTTGATGGTATGTGTTATTTGGTTTGTACAGTTGTTATCAGAGAACATATAAAAAGAGTAAGAAAAGATGATACGTTGTCTTCTTTTCCTCTCTATTAATGACACTACCTCAACATTTGCTTACATGGGTTATGAAAAGAAATTGCATTTCCTATCAAGCCTTAGTTCTCACTCTCATTGTAATTTTTGTATTTAGAGGAAACTCAAGATCCATTAAGCCGATACATTAAGGTATGGGAGAGACAGAAGACTCGGAGAAGAATGGCAGTGCAACCAAAGCCCAGAAGGAGGAAAAGCACGAAAAGAAAGAGAAAAAACATGCAGACATGGATGAGAAAGAAGGGAAAGGGGAAGAGAAAAGCAAAGATAAGAAGAAGAAAGACAAAGATGGTAAAGATAAGGAAGATGGTGGAAAGGAGAAGAAGAAGAAGGATACTCAAGATACGACGGATCCAGCGAAACTGAAGCAAAAGCTCCAAAAGATTGATGCCAAGATGCAAGAATTGACGACAAAGAGAGAAGAAATCTTAAAACTTCTTAATGAAGTTGAGAAAAATGCCGCGAATCCAAGTTAAAAATGCATTTTCTAAAAATGTGATTGGTTTCAAAACTGTTTTTGAAAAAAACCAAAAACAAAAAAAATCTGAAAACAACCCTCTTTGGAACTTTGTGAAAAATGATGTGCATTTTTGAACTTTTCATTGCTTTATTTTGGAAAATAGGAAAAACAAAAAAAGATACTAAACAATTCCTATAATCTTCTCAAATGAGTGTTGGAGATTTGTTGGAAGGTTTTTTTATTTTATTTTTAATATATATATTTTAGTGATTTAAAGGATTGATCACTGTACTATTTGTAGTAGTAGGTTACTATATTTTTTTTTTTGGGGGGCGGGGGGAATTACTTGTCAATGTTGTCTTCAAAACTTAATTACAAAAATCATGGACAAGATTATGATTTTACATATTAATGTTTATAAAGAATATCATTAATTTAAAAATATTTTTTTACTCTTACACTACCAAGTAATCCCTTCACCACCCCTCCCTTTTTTTTTTGGTCACACAATTAAACTACCCATGAAAAAAAAATCCTCTTGTAAATGTACTTAGGTACTAAAACATGTTTGTAGTACCACGAGAAGCAAAAAGTGAAGTATATTAGTTTATGATTTATGAAGCTTAGTTTAAGCCACGTGGCACTCCACATCTACTGTGATTGATGGAGGAAGTGGGGCTCACAATTTTGTGTTAGGTAATTGGAGAATATGAGAGGGCATGAGAGTTTGTAATTAACTTGGGATATGGCCATGTTGTGCTTGAGGACCAACCAATAATTTTTTCTGTTCTACATATTGCAATCATCTTTTGTTGCAAAGGTTGTGGTGAAAATTGGTACTAAGATCTGGTATGTGAATAAGTATGAAATTGATGTTGAATTGTTTGTTATTGTGCCATAGGCAAAGATTTTCACACCTGCAGCAACTGCCTAACTCATAAATTAATTTATGATTAAGAACAAAATAAAAGTCATGTTAACAGATGACAAAACTTGTGTATGTTAATTAATCAAAAGAAGTACAAATATATAAGCAATAGAATGAAACCCTAATAACTTAAAGTACTAAACTATCCTTAATGAATAATATAAACTACATAATTCACACACCCCCTCAAACTGAGGATGCGAGCGCAGAAAGCATCGAAAGTTTGCCAAGAAGAAAATGAAAACGAGCAACAGTATGAGTCTTCGTAAAAAAATTAGCCAACTGAAGAGATGAGGGAACAAAAGGGAGAGTAATAGTGCTAGCCTGAAGATGCTGTCTAACAAAGTGACAATCTATTTCAACATGCTTGGTCCGCTCATGAAAGACGGAATTATGGGCAATCTGGACAGCACTCTGATTATCACAATACAACGGAGTCGGATCATAAAGAGAGACATCCATATCAGAAAGAAGCCAGCGAAGCCAAACGATCTTGGAAGTAGCATGAGCCATGCCACGATACTCAGCCTCAGCAGCGGAACGAGCAACGACAGACTGTTTCTTACTCTTCCAGGATATGAGGGAATCGCCAAGGAAAACACAAAGACCAGAAGTGGATTTACGATCAGAGATGTCACCTGCCCAATCAGCGTCAGCATAGGCACGGAGAGTCAAGTCCGAAGAGGCAGATAACAGTAAACATTGCAACAAAGTGCCACGAAGGTAGCGCAAAGTACGAAGTAAGGCAGCCCAGTGTGTGGAACGAGGAGCAGAAACAAACTGACTAAGAATGTGCACAGCATAGGAGATATCCGGACGAGTAACGGTGAGATAAACAAGGCACCCAACCAACTCGCGATACAAAGTGGGATCCTCAAGAGGAACGTCATCAGAAGCAGAAAACTTAGCATGCAACTCAAGAGGAGTGTCAACAATTTTCTCATCAGTGAGATTGGCACGAGAAAGAATATCACGGGCATATTTAGTCTGAGAGAAAAGATACCCAGTAGGAGAAGTAGCAACCTCAATACCAAGAAAATACCGAAGAAACCCCAAATCCTTCATCTCGAACTCCTGAAACAACTGGTGCTTAACCTCCTCAATAGTACTATAATCAGAGCCAGTGATGATCATATCATCCACATATAAGAGAAGGAGAACAAGCCCAACAGAAGTGCGCTGAACAAAGAGAGCACAATCATGATGACTAGGGCGAAAACCAAGCTGAAGGGCAATAGAGTGAAATCGCTCATACCAAGCACGAGGAGACTGCTTGAGACCATATAGAGCACGACGAAGACGACAAACAACACCAGGAGGGTGAGAGAGACCCGGTGGAGGGCGCATATACACTTCTTCAGCAAGATGCCCATTCAGAAAAGCATTTTTGACATCTAGTTGAAACAAGGGCCAATGATGGGCAGCGGCAACAGAGATAAGAGTACGAACAGTAGTCATCTTGGCAACGGAGGCAAAAGTCTCATCGTAATCAATCCCATACTCCTGAGAAAAGCCTTGGGCAACTAGACGAGCTTTGTACTGTTCCAAAGACCCATCAGAAAGGGTTTTGACCTTATAGACCCATTTACAGCCTACAACATTCTTATCAGCAGGTAATGGAACCAAATCCCAAGTCTGAGTGTTAGCCAAAGTAGTTAACTCATCATTCATGGCGGCAATCCAATTGGGATCATGACAAGCTTCCTTGTAAGACCTGGGCTCAAAATATGTGTGAAGACAAGAAAGAAAAGACTGATAGGAAAGGGAAAAACATGTATTACCAAAACCATACCAGTTTGGAGGATGACGATCTCGCTTTGGGAAGCGATGTGTAGGAGGAGCGGGATCCAAAGAAACAGCTGGAGGGACAGTAGAGCTAGAGACATGTGAGCTCAGAAGTGCTTTGCGGCGTTGATAAACAATAAGAGGAGCAAGAGAAGCGGGAGCTGGAGATAAGGTAGCTGGAGAGGTAATAGAAGTGCTAGTAAGAGGCAAAGTAGAGACCTCAAGGTCAGAAACAAACTCATCAGGAGAAACATTAGGAGGAAATGGGTCAACATGAACCAATTCATCCTTAGTAATAAGAACAGGGGTGGAAGGTATAGTGTAGTAGGGTAGTTTTCTAAAAAAGTGACATGCCTAGACACATATAGCTTTTTGGTGACAGGATCATAGCACCGATAACCTTTCTGATTAATGCCATACCCTAAAAAGACACATAGGACACAACGAGAACTAAGCTTAGAGCGCGCCCGTTTAGGCAGGAGGACAAAGCATGCAGAACCAAAAATACGAAGAAGAGAATAATTGGGAGTAACACCAAAAAGACGCTCATACGGAGATGAGCCTGAGAGAAGAGGAGTAGGCATCCGATTGAGAAGATATGCAGCAGTGAGCACAGCTTCTCCCCAGAAAACAGAAGGGACAAAAGATGAGAGCAACAAAGAGCGAGCTGTATCAAGGAGATGGCGATGTTTGCGCTCAGCTCGACCATTTTGTGCAGAAGTGTCAGAACATGAAGACTGATGAATAGTTCCATGAATAGCTAAACACTCCTCAAATTCAGACAAGTAATACTCACCCCCCAAATCAGAACGAAGAATTTTAATGGTGGTAGAAAACTGAGTGCGAATCATGGAGTGAAAATTAGAATATATTTTGTAAAAATCAGATTTTCGAGTCATTAAATAAACCCAAGTAAATTGACTGTAATCATCCACAAAAGCTACATAATATTGCGAACCACCCTTGGTAACTATAGGGGAAGGACCCCAAACATCAGTATGGACCAACTGAAAATGAGAAGATGAAATAGAACTACTTTTATTAAAAGGAAGAGCAGACATTTTAGCCAGTTTACAACCACGACACTCAGAAATATCACTAATGGAAAAATTGCCTAAATGTCCAGACCTAACTAACATCTTCAACCGATCACTCGACAGATGACCTAACCTAGAATGCCAAATATAAAACAAAGAGGACTTATTATTTAAACAAAAAGAAGACAATGCAGTAGAAGACACTTCTAGAGGAACATGTAAGCTGTCCAAGATATATAGTTCTCCAACTCTACGCCCGATCCCAATCTGCCTCTTGGATACCTGGTCCTGTACAACACAATGAGAAGAAGAGAAAACAACATCAAAACCGGAATCAGATAATTGACTAATAGAAATAAGACTGAGTGAGAGGTTAGGCACATAAAATACAGAAGAAAGAGACAAATGGGAACAAGAAATAGAACCAACAGAGTGTACCGGCATAGAAGAACCATTAGCAGTAGCAATAGTGATAGAAGAAGAAGGAGAGACACAATTACTGAAGAGAGATGCAACCGGGGTCATATGATGTGAATAACCAGAATCAAAGATCCACGAAGAATGGATATTACCTGAAGAGGATGAACCAGACAAACCGAACTGAGTGGTAGTCATAGTGGAGGCTTGGGACGAAAGATTTGGATTGGCCACCATGAAAGACTTGAACTGCTCAAACATAGACTGCATATTGGAAGATGGATCATTCTCAGAAACTGGTGCAGAAAAGGCGGCAGATGAGCGAGATCCTGAATATGTCGGCTTAGCGAATGGTGAACCAGATGAACGACCCTTGGGCTGCAAAAGTTTAGGACATGCATGTTTCCAATGGCCTTTCTGATGACAGAAGCTGCACTCATCCATGGAAACCCAAGGCTTGAGTTTACCAGTAAATAAATGAGAAGATGGGGTGGGCAAGAGCGGAGGAGTGGCAAAAACTGACTGGGAAGCAGGAGAACCATGAGCCACCTTAAACCGAGTTTCTTCCGTAATAAGCTCACGGACAGCACCATCCACAGAAGGCAAGGGAGACCGATGAAGAATAGCTCCCCGAAGTGGCTCAAATTAATCACGAAGGGCCATGAGAAATTGAACAAGATGTTGTTTCTCCCAATACTTGATATAACTGTCAAGTAACTGCAAATCGGACGGTTCCATCAAAGCAAGCTGATCCCAATAAGTAGTCATCTCATTGTAGAACTCCTGAATGGACTTATCTTTCTGATTAGCACTGCGAATAGACATCTCAAGTTCATACTGTTTTGCAAAGTTAGACTCAAGGTACATAGTCTTCAAATAGTCCCAAACTTGTTTAGAAGTAGAATACATGGAAAAATTCATACCAATGGTAGTTTGAACTGAATTATGAAACCAAGTAAGAATTTGTGCATTTTCCTTATCCCATTTAGCAACATCAGCCACAGTTTTTTGAGATTCCACAGGTCTAATAGTTATACCAATAACATAATTCCACATACCTTTACCCATTATAAAATTTTTCATCACATGAGACCAATAAGAATAATTGGTACCATCTAATTTAGTAGTAATAGCTTGCAATTTATCATTAGCCATATTGTATACCCAAACTACAGTGCATTCAAAATAGAGTAAAAGGCAGCAGAGAAGAGAGAGAGAGAGATGCTCGACCTGTGAAGAGTAGCAATGTTTGGTCCTCGTCCTCAATTGAACCAGACAAAGATCGAGACCAGCGATGAAGGACCACAGACCAGAGCAATGAAGGACTATAGATCAGTGAGATACCCAACCTAGGTCTTCGAATGGACCAGAGACCAGTGACGAAGGACCACAGACCAGCAATGACAGCTTCCTAGGGTTTCGATTGAACCAGAACCAACTGCTTAGGTGATGACCTACGAATGCGACAGATCATCGAAGCCTTGCAACGAAGCCTTACGAAGAGGAAGAAAGAGCTGCGACAACAACCTTGTGAAGAACGACTGCGACAGGTATGCTAATGTTTGAAACTTTGCTCTGATACCATGTTAACAGATGACAAAACTTGTGTCTGTTAATTAATCAAAAGAAGTACAAATATATAAGCAATAGAATGAAACCCTAATAACCTAAAGTACTTAACTATCCTTAATGAATAATATAAACTACATAATTCACAAGTCACACATAAGGTGATAACAAATTAGGTGTTATATTAATACTATCATGAGATTAGAAAAGGGATGAACAAGATCATGAATTTCATAATGTTTGAACTTATAACCTGGGGCACAAGTTTTTTAGGAATAGTTATTTTGAAAGAAAACTAAATAAGTTAAGAATAAAAAGTGTAAACAAAACAAAACAACCGAACTTAATAATAAAAGTATTGCCCTCACATCACATTCTAACAATGTTTTTGGAGCTTAAAGCGGAAATAGTTGTCTTGATGTTGTACTAGCCTATAACTCGAGCCCAATTTTCAATAGTTGACCTGACTATAACCTAACTCTAATAGCAATTGTCACGAGCTGACTCTTTCGAGTATGCAGTGGGATTTATTTTTGCCTGTGAGGCGCTTGAACTTGCTCTACCAAGTTGAACCCCACCTAATCTCTCCTTGATCATTGAGTGTCGAATCTTAACTTGTCTTGTCAAATGTAGGCCTAATGTTATGTCTAGCAAGAACAACTCTCATAAGGAAAATGCCATAAGTAGACTAAGGTCTCGTTTGGGAACAGGCTAATTTAGTATCTTTTTGGCTATTTGGCTAAAATATGAGCTAAAAAAAACTAGTATGTTTGGGATGACTTTTTGGATTTTGATGAAAAGATGTGCAAAAAGTAGAGGAAAAGAGAATCTTTGACTTTTTGGTATGAGTTGTTAGCTTTTTGACTAATTTATTAACTTTTTGATTTTTTGACTAAAATAGAGGGTTCTCAAACGAAGCCTAAACATCCACAAGTGCATCCCACATTGTTCATATCGCTTCATGGCAGCAAACTCGCCCTTGAGTAAGGCGCTTGCCCAATTGAGGCTTCATGTCAGGCGTCCCCTGTCAATGTTGTCCACAATTGACCCAACACACTGTTGGTCAACTGTGCACCAACATAGAACCCTCAATTTAGCTGTTTGATGTTTTAAAAATTACATAAAATAGAACCATAAAAGGTCATCCAAAAAAAAGTAAATAAAATAAAAAAAAAGAGAGAGTAAAAAAGTTACAGACAAGCACCCTCTTGGTAGGTTTAGTAATCAGTAATTGCATTGTAGTGTATGATCTCTCTATTCTTCACTATCTTCAATTCCCATCTCTATAGACTATTAGTAAGTAGCCGGTGTAGTGGCCCTCTCTTTCCTTGGACTTGACAATCATGTCGTCCACGTACACCTCAACCTCTTTATGGATCATATCGTGCAAAATCGTGGTCGCAGCCCGTTGATACGTAGCCCTACCATTCTTCAAGCCGAACGGCATCACCCTATAAAAATAGGTTCCCCACGGGGTGGTGAAAGTAGTCTTCTCCCTATCTTCGGGTGCGATCAAAATCTGATTGTAGCTTGAAAAACTATCCATGAACGAGAGGAACGCATGCCCAACACTGAAATCCACTAATTCGTCAATATACGACAGAGGAAAGTCGTCCTTCGGACTGGCTTTGTTCAAATCCATGAAGTCCACACATACCCGAATTTTGCTGTCCTTCTTCGGTACCGGAACTATATTGGCCAACCAAGTTGGATACTCAGATACTAATCGGAACCCTACATCGATCTGCTTGGTGACCTCATCTTTGATTTTCAGAGCCCAGTCCGGGCGGATCCTTCGGAGCTTCTACTTAATATGTTGGGCCTCTAGGTCAAGAGGGATCCTGTGCTGTACAATCTCAGGATCGATTCCAGGCATGTCTTCGTAGGACCACGCAAAAACATCTTTGAAATCTTTTAATAAAACGACTAAGCGCTCGCTCTCCTCCGAAGACAACGTAGACTCGATCTGGACCAGCCTCAGGTCCTTCTCTATACCAACATTAATTGTGGTGATTTCATTAACCAAAGGTTTTACAAACCTCTCCTGTTCTTGATCAAGCAAATATTTCAAAACTGAAGGAATTTCTTCCTCATCGTTTTCATCAAATTTTTGAAAGTCTTGATTAATGCAATAAATTAAAGGCACAAAAAAGTATTCGGAAGCCACAGCCATACCATTCTCATTAATCACATCTAGTCCGTCTGATCCTTTGGTTACAACAGACTCAAAGGAAAACAAAAAAGATGACCTGGATAGGACAGTGGCATCTGGGTTATCACCCCAAGGAATACTGGACACAGACTTAGAAGAGCTGGAATCTGATTCCGACTCCATAGACTTAGTGGAATCAGATTGCAGCTCACTACCTAACCCGGAACTGCTTGATAAAAAGCCCTCCTCGTATTGCCAGACGAGGAAGGGTGTGATGGATGCATCAAGAATGCCTGAAGATGGGCCCACAGCTGCTTCATTCCTGATCGTGGAAACTGAGAAGTTATCCCTTAAGCACTCCGGTACGATTTAAGGATCTGAGAAGAGCCAAGCCCGCACTACCCCCATCTCAATTTTTGTGCACTCAGAATCCCCCTCCTTGCATTGCTCAGCCTCAGCTGGTGGGTCTGTCTACTCCTCGGTAACTTCATCCCCAGACAGTTGAAGAATTAAAAAGATTTTGAAGCTGAGCAAGTGCCACTTCTCTGAATTCGTCCAGAGCTCCAAAAAGCCGCAAAATGGGAAGTCTTCCCCTTCTCGGACAGAGCGTCCGTTCAAGGTCCCTTGGATAGGTCTGTGCACCAACTCCTAATGCTTTCCGGCTTGCTTTGCCCTGGCTTTTCCAGCCATCTCTCTTCCTTTCCTCGCTCAATCTTCTTTGGTAGGAAGATAACCTAAGCCAAAGGTATATGGGTTATGCGGCACTTCGGCCGATGCTCTGACGCCCTTCCGGCGACTTCACCCCAATCCCATCTTGGGCATGTGCTGAATCTTGCTCATAATGTACACAGATTGTGCACTGACGTATAGCCCCTCATCAACAGCTAGCATGTCCTGTACAACCTGGGCCTCAGCTAGGGTGAATCCAGATAGAAACGCATCCTCCACACCATGCTCAATCTCCAGAACTGGTGTAGAAACCTCTAGCAGTGGATGTATCGAAGAATTCCCAAAAACGATTGCTACTCGTTTCCCGTGGGGGTACTTCAGCATTTGGTGTAAGGTGGAAGAGATGGCTTTCACCTAGTGCAGCCACGGCCGTCTAAGGAGTAGATTGAAGGTTGCTGGTACATCCAAGACATGGAACTCAACGTCCTGCTGCCCCGGACCAACCTAAGTCTTAATCCATACGGTCCCCTTCGCCTCTCAGCTAGTATTATCATAGGCTCGTATTACCTGGGCTGTAGGCACAAAATCCGCGGGTTTCAACCCGATTGCCTACGCCGTTCTTGACAGACATACATTAATTGTGGATCCCGTGTCGACCAGGACCACTAGTATCCACTTCTCTCTACACTCCACAGAGATGTAGAGTGGTCTGTTATGGTCTAAGCCCTCGGGTGGTAGTTCTTTGTCGGTGAAGGTCAAGGTCGGGGAAGCTCCTCCCGGGAAAACCAGCCCTACCAACTGTTTGGGTGTGGTATCAATTGAAAGTTTCGCCATGTCCATGGCAGAAAGGACAGCTTTTCTGTGAACCCTTGAGGCCATAAGCAGTCCCCAGATGGAGATGTCAGCTTTGATTTTCTCAATCTACTTCAGTACACCCTCCTTCTCTAGCAATTTTTCCTTCTACATCTCTGCTTCTTTGTCCTTCCCAGACGCCTCCGACTGGTCCAAGTGTGGGGGCTTGAAATACCGACCACTCCTGGTCATATGGTCAACCTCCTCAACAT